GTGTGTGTGTGTGTGTGTGTGTGTGTGTGTGTGTGTGTGTGTGGGCACGTTTTTGATACATCATATAAACCATTTTCCAGAAAAAAGGCAGCTTCATGGGGACCGAATGTGCATCATGGCGACCAGTGCCTTGTCCCCACGGGTATGGATGCTGATTTCAGGTGTCAGGTGCGGGGGTTAGGTTGAGGACCACGGTGTGTGTTGTGGAAATATATTATATAATCCTGCCTAACTGCTAAGTTCACTTTACCCTGACATATTCTGTTCTGTATCTCTCTGATAACTGACACATTTGTGTAATCTGTTCTCATGATTCTTAAAGACGCCATTTGATGTCTACGGACCTTGCTCTCATTTCATATTGCCTGTCTAACTTGGTATTTCTGTCTTTGTTAAATAAATATTTCCATAACAGTGTGAATTGAGTTTATGTTAGTTTTAAGGTCAGGTAGGTAGGTACCACTGAGGTTAATTTTAGGGTAAATGGTCAGGGTTAGGCTATAAAATTACCAGAAAATGAATGTGTCATTCCATGGTCCCCACGGGGATATAAAACCAAACCTGTGCGTGTGTGTGTGTTTTATAGTTTAGAGGATCGTCTGACAGCTTCTTCTGTTTCTGCAGTTTATTGATTGAGCAGCTTGTGTCAGTGCCACTAAAAGTGTGAGTGTCTGCGTCAAGGCTTCAGGCTGAGGCAGAGCAGCTGTTCAGGAGTTTCTGCATACCCTACCAGTGGGTGGGGCGGGGAGGTGGGGAGGGTGGGTGAGTTCAGTGACAGGGTGGCATTTTACAGGCCAGCTGGGGGTACATTATTCCTAAATGTCTGGTTTAAGTACGACATCCAAGRAAAACCACAGTGTTTATTTGCACATGTAAATAAATGTACTAATACGGAGTTTATGACCTTTTAAAATGGTAAATGGTAAATGGCTTGAACTTATACAGCGCCTTATCAAGCCCATATGGACCCCAAGGCACTTTATACTTCAGGCATTCACCCATTCACACACTAATGGTGGTAAGCTATTATTAAAATATAAATATATATATTATTATGAGAAGAAATATAACAAAAACATTTGTGCAAATGCAGTATTTTAGTTTTTCACAGTGTGTTCTGGGAAAATCAGTATTCAGTTAGTTATCTGCTCTTTAGGTTTTGTGTTTGATAAATTTTATGTTTTGCTTTTCTTTTTTGAAATGCAATGTTTTATTTTTGTTTTTGCACATTGTAAAAACTAATTCTCTCAAATCAAAAGCATCTATACTAAGAGGCCAGTCAGTTATCTGGATGCATAAAGAAAATAATTATAGCCTGAGTCAGACTTTTTTTTTTATAAATCCTGATTTTACAGGAGCAGCAGCTCTATCAGCAGCGTCCCCCTCTCCCTCATCTCTCAGCGGTAAATCATAGCCTCAGTCCGCCTCCGTTCTACTTCTTCATTGTGCTCCGTCACTGGAGGGCAAGGGCCAGCCGGCGTGTCTGACGTCTATGTAAAACACACGGGTGCAGCGGGACAGAATAAACAAAGAGGGGACCGTGGGTTTGTTATCACAGACCTGTACTGCTGCCGGTTCTCTCTGAGACTGCTGCTTTCCTTTTCCAGTCGACTCGGCGTGCCTCACCTCTTCGTCATCCATGRGGCTCTTGACATCTGGAGGGCCTGATCTCTTTTCTGGTCTCTCACTCACCACCCTCTTACCCTGCACAGAGACAACCTCCTGAAGTCTCTCATGTTCTAATGCGCAGTGTAATCACACATTCATTGTAGGGTTTGGAAGACTGTACCATTAAAATTCTTTGAGTTTTTTTTTTTCATCTCTGATATTTGCTGTAGTTGTGTTATCATGTAAAACTTCTCATWTAAAAGCACTAAACTAAAAAACATCTGCATGGGAGTATCTGATCAGGTAAATTATATTTTCCTCGTGTTTAATTAAATTACGTTAACCTCACATTTTAGTTTGTTCCCATAGTATTTGAGAAAAATTGTTTTGTTCTAACATTTGTTTGTAATTTTTTACAACTGGTTTAACTGTAGCATGGCCCTTGCCTTCATACACAGTTCCGTTCAATTCTAGTTTAYCTTCACTGCTCCGTCTGGGATTTCTCCCATAGACAAGGATTTCTTCAGTAGAATTTCACCTGAGCCAATCAGCGAACAGAAGGAGGAGTTCTGAACGACAACRTTGATTTTCTGCACAGTGTCTGCTTGTAGTTTAGCAATGGTAGTGGARGAAGTGAACGAAGCCAGACCGTGTTGATAAGGCTTCCAAATTAAGTTAAAGGCACAGTGTGTAGGATTTTGTCAATTCTTTTAGCCGAAATTGAGATAATCACTAATGACAATAATAAAAAACATGTCTAATCATTGCAGACAAAGACCTTGTTTTATTATTTTTACCTTATAAAAAGCTGTTTATATCTCCATGGTCGCGGATCGCCAGTACAGGCAGCCGCCATCTTGCACCGCCATCTTGTCTACCAAGGCTCATGAAGGACAAACTGCGGTGGCGGCGTCAAAAACGGTTTTAGTTGTAATACTATAAATGTAATATTTGTAGTCTGTCATTGTAGCTGGGATTATTTTACTTATTAAAGCTCATAATCTTACCACTTGAAACATCACTAGCCCTGAAGCTGCTGGTAGACATCGCGGTTGGAATTATCAAAGGTTTTTGACACCTGAGAGACACCGTAGCARCTCCTTTGCGTTTGGAAGCGGGGGGTGGGGGTGGGGGGAGGACCAGGGAGGATGATTCAACCACTCAACCACTAGGTGTCGCTGAAAATAACAAATCCTACACACTGTGCCTTTAAATTTGTCTCACAAAGCCTGCAGCATCATTTACAGTCGTCTCGTTTGGCTCGGTACTTCTCTCCTCTCAGTAGTGTTGTTTACGGCCCACACAATTTCCAGTTAGCTTCTTAGCTTAGCCTCCTTCACARTGGAGCTGGCRCATTGCATACTTYGCRGCCAACCRTTAGCAATTGGGTCAATCAGATCCAATCATTTTAAACTTCAACAGAGTCCACACCAAGAGTCCAGACCCTCTKTACGAAGCCARGCGAAGAACAAGGGGCTGGTTTTACCAGGCTAGTTTAACTTTAGAATCTTCTCAGTCTGCAATCTATAAAGACAGCTCCATGAAGAATTATCATCAGCTTTTATATGTAACATATTTAAATGACCTCGTACTGACAATAATATAGTTTTAGTTGGAAAGCCAAWCAGAAACGCACCAGTGTGGCCACATTTTGTTTTGAAAGCAATGACACGGCATTTTCAAATATATCTAAAACAAAGTAATACCTATTTTTATCTGGGGGGGCGGGTATTATGTGTATGTTTTCAGGCATATAGTTCAATTATATACCTCAATCTAGTAGATATGCTACCTTCAGTTGTTAAGAAAAAGCTGTATATAAAATAAATTTGACTTTGATTCACAGTCAAAACATCTTGAAATTGGCCTCCTACGGTTTCAAACACTCCCACTTCAGCACGTCGTCACAACAATGTTCGGGGAAGGGGAGCTCAGCTGCAGACTGAGCTCCAGGGAGGAGCTAAGTACAAATAGGCGGAGCTTTGTACCAGCAAATGTTTAGGCAGCTCCGCATGGCTACCAGAGYAGAAATAAGGATTTCTCAACCATGATGCATGAATGAGTCAAAGCAACACTCTGGGTATGTTCTGGATGAGGGAATGACATTATAACATGATATGAACCTCAAAAAAGTTGATTTTTTAATACCCACCTTTAAAGGTCTAGTAATTGAGAAACAGCAACATCTAGTGATAAAATTGCAAATTGCCACAAAACAAAAAATAATATTAATTATAAAATTATGAAAGCTGCAACAGATTTAAACAATATTTTACAGACAAGCTATGAATTTTCTTAAGCCAATAAACACAAAAATTCTTGCACTAATGGAATTAAACACTAAAACAGATTTTGAACAATTTCCTTATTTTTTTCAATAAATTTGTCTACGCCAGTAACCTACTGTATTTATATGATGAAGCAAAGCATCCATTGTGTTTTAAAACAAAATAAGTTCTTAAAATAACACCAAAGRGTTTATTAAAAGTTTAATTAATCTTAAATAAAAATAAAACTATTTTAACTCAACGGCTGATGAATCAGTTTTTTACTCATTAAACGTGAGCAGACAGCTTTACTTTATTTGTCACTTTTGGTTGAAATCAGCTCAGGAGTGAATGAACCTTTTTGCCAGCCATGGTGACCGTCAGCCGTTTCCTGTGACCTYGCCCAGAACTCTGCGCTGGACCTTCCTCCCCCCTGTCAGGTCCAGGATCCTGCTGTCCTTTTCCAGCTGGAGACCCGCTGCTGCTCGGCTTTGTCACCACCACACGACTCTCCTGCTCCCAGTCAAACAAGAAGAACAGATTCTGGAGTGAAGTCATAAGTGGTATTTCRGCATCAAGGACTCTCTGGACTCACATCTGTGGACTTGCTGATCGTGATGGTAAGATCATCGGCTTTGCCTTTTCGACTCTGCAGCGCCATTCCCTCCTCTTCTGCCTTCTTCCTGTCCTCTTCCACCTCCTGAATGCAACAGCAGCATTATTTCCAGGAAGCATTTCAGAGCTGCACACCTAAAGCATCTCCACCTGCACCTCACCTTGTACCTCTTCATCAGCGCCTCATTCTTCCTGCGGAGAGCCTCGATCTTCTTGTCCAGCTCCAGATCTCTCTCGTGATCCCTCTTGGGCATCTCGTTACTGGTGGTCTGAGTCGACACATTCAGTCATCAGTGACAGTCTCACGTTTAATCAAACAATCAGTTAGTTGCTTGTAGAAAACACTTAAAAACCAAGACTGTTTTGGTTTTATTTATAAACTGTTGCATGAAAAACCAGAGCAAACTTCATTTTTTGTTCCGTTTTTACGGAGAACAAAAAAAAGCCCACACATCAGGCAATTACAGAAAACCTTATGTTCACTGGGAGAGAACAGAGAGGAGAGTGAAATGCTAATCACTGGCTCCATGTGCTTTAGTAAAGCACAACACTGACACATCGTCGCAGCCGCCACAGATGGAGCATTCATCACGAGGCTCAATTACACATATGCGGAGCATCCCAAGCATCCCAGTGCAGTCAGCAGGGCACGCCTCCTCCCACCACACCAGGGTCGGAGGATAAAAACCTCCATGTGCACTCCTGGTGCAGCAGCAGCGTTATCTCTGTAATTAACTTCTTTTACAAAAAAAAAAAAACGTTTTTAAAAACCTCGACCCGAAAGCTGTTGCTGAATGGAGGAACACCAAATGTGCCCAAGCATCAAATATCTGCAAAACAATGATCTCACTTCCCTCCGCCTGAGGTAATTTAATATTCCCTCTCCTGCCTGGTTTGTRCAGAGTTAGGAATACGTGACTCAGCTTGAGTGACAATAAAACAAACTCTAACGACACATCTTTGTGACGAGGAGAGGAGAGTTTGTCAACGACTCAACAATAGTGTAATATTATATATTTTAGTTTCTTTGGTTAAATTTGTTTAGAAATGTGCAAATTTTCCACCTCGCTGCCTGAGGAGATGTAATTATTAAATAAGTTGGCTTCATTACAAAATATTGTTTAAAAGTAAAAAATATGAACATATTTTTTTTAATTTCTCCCTTGTTTGTTCAGATTTATTGTAGTGAACCTAAAATGAATGTGTTGTGTTCAGGACTCCAAGAAGTCCTTCACAAGCTGGATCTTTGTAAGACGTTCATCATATTGTTTTAGTGCATTTGTTTTGCTTCAGATGCATTTTGCTTCTCATAGATGTAGGTTTTTAAAACTCTGGATGTCATATACATCTGTTTTTTTGTAATATAATTATGACACTTACTGTTCTTCTGTTTTATTTTATTTTTCTCTTCTTATTTTATGATTTTTTATTGTGAAATAAAGATATTAAAAAAGGCAGTCCTCTCTGACTGATCTCATTTAACTGAGCTGCAAGAACTGGAAAGTCTCCAGGTGATACAAACTTCTTCAATGAGGAATATGTTTGGTACTCAAACCTCCTCATGGCCTCCCCAAGACTCGTGTCTTACAATTATGTTGACAAAATAACTCTATACGTTTTGGTTTTCAACCCAACAACTGGTTTGTCAAGCAAATTGTGAGCAGATGGAAGAATATTACTCTAAATATGTTCATGTGATTCTAATAATCACAAACGTTTTCCGTTTGTGACACTATATGGCACTATAATAAGTGCCATATGTTGCAGTTTGTCCAAGCTTAAAAGACAAAAAAAACTCTATAATTCCATCTACACGAGAAACAAAAACTTATTGAAAGTATTGAAATCGCCTCTCGTTGCATAAGCTAAAGTTTTAAAGATTTATTTGTGCTCAGACATATGACAGATAATGACTCTCAGCTACTACTGCGCTAAATTTTAGCTCAATCTCTTTAAAACTGAGTCAAAAATAAACTAAACCAATCAGAACCTTATATGAAGTTAAAAAAAACACTTTTAATCTGAAACAACCAATCCAGGAAGATAAAAAAACATTTGTAATACATGCTGAATTGCAAAAAAAATAAAATAAAACCAGCGCAAGAGTAAATGTTTTTCATCCATTATTGAGTTTATGATCCAGATGAGTTTTACAAGGCAGAATAAAAAGCTAAATTAACCACTGCTGGTTTTTACAACAGTGTTTAATAAATTTTATTATCCGTAAACCTATTGTTAAGTTGTTAATTTAAGGGGTTTCTGTATTTTGTTTCCAGACAAAGCTTCCTTTTTCCTGTAAGACTGCACAGTTCTGATTCAGGGTTTAAAAGAAAAAAAAATTGTATAGGTCCACTGGACGGGTTCTTCTTTAATGAAACGTTTCGTCTCTCTTCGTTTCATTAAAGAAGAACCCGTCCAGAGGACCTATACAATTTTTTTTCCTTTTGATTTTTTACCTGGATTACTGAGATGCATCAGGAGATTCAGGGTTTAGTTTTGTCTTAGAAATTGCAGGTTTTGAAAGTGATCTTACGACTTTACAACGAATATACTTTTTAAGAACTCTTTCACAAGTGTTGTTCAAAAGTGATGAGTGTGTGWGTTTCCCTGTAACATCATTTTTTCTTTAATCCAGACCAAATCAGTCGTACCTAAAAAAAATAACAAAAAGAGCTCCAAACTTTGAATAAGCGCTGGCAGCTTCTGCTGTTACTCAGAGCAAAGAAGCGATAATAATCCTGCCAAAAAGAAAAGTTGCCAGTTCTGCGTGTCTTAACTGTGAAAAAAAAAAAAACATTGTTCATGTTGAACAATCACATTCTCCACACTGTTTGACTTATCCCGTGGGCTCTGAGGAAGCAGACGTGCCAAAGTGAGTCAGTCGTCTTACTCTGTAGCACCGATGGCAACCCAAGAGCCGAGGTCGTCTCTACGCGATGTGATGACTCACTGCTAACGAGCGGACAAACACCATCAACACATTTCACGTCCTCCCAGCTGTTCTACCTGCGAAGARCCACTTCAGCTGAGGTGKTCTGAGTTGTGATCTGAAAGCCCAGCACAGGAAAAGTTTAGACTCAATCAGAGAGGCGGCAGGCTGGAAATGGTTACCTCACTGCTTGCAGTTGTCAGGGTATCCAAACACAACACACCATGAGGACATACCACCAAGAATAGGCTCCACAGGGAGCGGACTGTGAATCTCGGCGAGCCCAATGGCGGAGGGCTGAAGGGAACCTCTACAAATGGCAAACCTTACGGGCTCAGGTGGCTGGAGTGCAGCAGCGCAGCTAAAACGCAGTCGAACAACACACTCTGCCAGCAAACCGATGGCGCACGTGCCCCGACGAGAGGGCAAAAGGGAGAGGAAAAGGGCCTGCAGGGAGAAGCTGCCAAGGTTTCCCTCCTACCCAGCGTTCCTGCTTCCTACAGCACTGGACAGAAGTGAAACGCAGCCACAGCTAAATCTGCGACAGAGCAGAGGAAGGAACATAACACCAGAGAGATGAGGGAAGGGAAGGAGAGAGAAGGTACTCACGGGTCGTTCCATGTCAGCGGTGAGAGCTGGGCCGGGTCCAGGAGCAGGGCAGCCGAGGCAGCAGAGTGGGCAGCCTCCAGTCCACGGTCATGYCTCGATCACAACGAGCCGAGCTGGGCAAGCAGCCAAGACGTCTAACAAACACACAGAGCTCCCCTGTTAACGGATTTTACAGCACCCAGCCGCTCGTTCTCCCTCTCCCCGACTCTCCAAACCTCCCACCCTCCCACTTGTGTGCTCCGTCGCTCCCACTCTCCCCCATAAAGCACTTGCTCTTTCCCCTCCTCACTCATCTCAGAGCACGCTGCTGAAATCCTGTTACTCTTCCCACACACCTGACACACAACAGCACCAAAAACACAGCTGATGCTCAGGCGCCGGCAACAGATCTACTCTAACTCTTCTTCTATTACACTTAGCAATGTATAAAAACCAGGAGAAAATAGTTTTGTTCTTTTGAATATGATTTGGATTTTTATTTTTTACTTTTATGTCCGTTTAAAACTAGGATTGTGTTATGAGAAAAGTAGGAAATATACAGTAGTTCTTGAAGTCAAATCTTAAAACTAACGGTCGCGACTAAGGGTCGCATGAAACGTCATGACATTTTGCACAAGAGGTCTCCTAATCAGATCAGATGTCTAAACAACCTCAGCAGACTTGTTTTAATGCAGAGGAGCAGCGGCTCTACTCCAAGCTCCCCTCAGGTGACAGAACTCACRTATATTGATAAAAAAGTTGTCCTCTGGCAGAGTTTCAAACATTCCCCCCATGCAAACCCAGACATCACAAATGAGATGCGTATGCCGCTGCAGTTTTAGCAGCTGCTCCTTCCAGCTCCAGATGACATGTTTAAAATGCTAAAGAGGCTTCCGAAAGACAGCAGAAGGGGTCAGGGGACAAAGGATTTCCCACAATTCTTTATACGTGGCCTACTGCCTGCTGCAGATGCCTCGCCAAGAAATCAGTCACTGGAGACCCAGAAAAAGGGTTTGCCAGAGTCCAAAATTCACAAAAACTACTGTTTTCCATCCATCCATCCATCCATCCATCCATCCATCCATCCATCCATCCCCGCTTCATCCTTTCAGGGTCAGGGCACTGTTTTTTATATGCTCTGATATATTTAAGGATTAGATTATTTAATGTCTAATTTTAATTTGAGGTAAAGAAAGACACCATATTTCAAACATACAATGCTTATTATTATGCTTATTACAAATTAAGTGTATAGTTTTGGAGGTGTTTATTTGAATGGTAAACCTTTATTTGTAAGCTATTCAAACCAAGAGAAGATCAATAATAGATTTAGAAAGACTGGTTTCAGGAAAAATTGCAACCTTTTTTTTTTTCTTGGTGTTTCTCCAGCTGTCCTTTTGCATCATTTCTCATCAGTTTGATCGTAATTTTCTTTCTTTTTGCTGTTGTGCAATGTGTTAATTAATTTCCAACCTGTTTTGAACAATTGAAAGTATCGCTTTGCATTTWCTCTCAGTTTGGTTATTTTTTCATGTTTTTGCAGTTACGTCACCTGTCATCGAGGTCTCATAAAATTAACGTCATCTTTTTTGTGGTAGACTGCACTTATTTTTAATRTTTTAATCTCACAGTTATGGTCTGTTGTTTATGATGTGTTTAACGTTGTTATTTTCCCCTTGTATTACTTTATGGTGTAAATTGGTTTAAATTTATTGTGATTTCTTGGATCCAGTGTTGCCAGGTGTACGATAATTATCGTATTTGTATGATAATTTGGCCCTCTGTACGATGTACGATCAATAATCCCAAAAATCCCATAATGTACGATAATTTGACCGCTCCAATGTGTGATGTAATCGACCCGACACGCTGCTCGCTGACATGAGAGGTGGCGGGTTGTGGAACATAGCGGTGCTGATTTAGCGACTTTCTCGCTATATTTACAGACTTTTCAGACCTTCTAGAGACTGTTATTCAGAAAAGTGACTAGTGAAAATCTAGCGACTCTTTTTCTGGTGTTATTGAGACTTTGAGAGACTCTGCCGTGAACGCATTTCACCATTGTGCTGCTGAGAGCTCCTCCTCCCCGGTCCCAGAGCACCGACAGGAGGCTTCTTCACGCTGCGTCTCTCCCTGCTGCAGACAGATATCCATCCCATCCAGACATGAAAGGAATACTGCTGCTGCTGYGAMTGATCCATGATGGGATGTTAATAAAAATATTTCTATGGCTAAAATAGATCCCTTTGCCGGTCCCTAGCCAATAGAAAGGAGGGTTAGAGTTGTGACAGTAAAATAAAAAAATATATTATTCTATATATATATTTAAAAAGGAGCAACAGAAGAAACTTTATTTTTTGTTCTCTTGACAAACTACTGTCTCTAAAGAGAAGGCTGGCTGCCACGATGAAGTCACCAATGTTTTTTTACCCTATTAAAACTCTACTGTTTAGGCTACCAGCTGGTCAAAGAATCAAACGTCCAATACAAAAAGGACGATACATATATTGAGTTGAATGTAGAATCCGTCTCTAAAATAGATACAAAAGTGTTTATTTATGTAGTTTAAAATATGTTTAACAACCTGCAAATACACCAGACTGCAGGAAACAGCAGCTACTTCATTCAAAATKTTCTGGGGGAGAACACCCCCTCCCACATTGGGGTTATGATGGCAACTAGTAGCAGCAAAGATAAATATAATAGTACTTATRTGAAAGAAATGATAACTGTAAAATCAAAAAGAAAAGGTGGGACTGAGAAGGYGAGGGGTATAAGCAACATTTACATTTAATAAACATCCAGGTGTCATCCAGGAGCAATTTTTAAAGAAAAAAAAAGCAGATTTAGGAGGCTTGCAGATTAAATTTGCTCAGTATGCACTC